AAAACACCCTTCCAAACCCCCCACTTTCCCTCTCTCTCTCTCTCACCCCAACGGTCGAGGCAGACGGCCACCCACCTAGAGCCGGGTCTGTCCAAGGTTTCTGCCTCTTAAAAATATGTTTTTCCTTGCCACCGTCGCCAAGTGCTTGCTTATGTAAGGAACTGTTGGGTCTGTGTAAATAATTTTATAAGGCTTAGACCTGCTCTATTTGAAAAGTTTCCTGAGATATCTTTTGTTATGAATTGGCGCTATATGAATACAATTTAATTGAATTGAATTATTTAAGCTGCAAAATTTCCCAGCTCTCTCTCTGCTACACCAATGCCGCTGCTGCCTTGTTCTGTAAGCCCCACCTCCACCCCAGCATCCACCTGTAGGCTCTGGTTAGGGGATTTAAGGTATGTGCTCATCACTCACAAATATCTCTGTCTAAACATATCTGCAGGGAGGGATGAGGTTGGAACCTCATTGTATCAGAATCAGAAATACTATTGATCCCCGGGAAAAACTTTGTTATTGTTGGTAATTTAAACCACTCAGCAATGCCTGTCAGTGGCACAGGTTTTAGACCTAATATTCGGCACAACAGCGCTTTGAGTGGCATGCTAACAATGTGTATATAATATATATGTTCCTGTTTTCACAGCAATTACTTTATTACTGCATAAGAACAATTCTAAACATAATGATTATTTCTGAAGTTATGAGATCCAACTTGCATCATCGGATTCAAAAAGGTTTGGTAATGTGCCGTTTGAATCCTAATGGTGAAGTGTGAGGAATGGGAGATTTATGTAGGTTAAACAAAGTCAAGGAAACAGGGCATGGTGCTAATATAAAACATATGTCAGTGTTATAGTTGCACAACATTAGTCTTTAGGGATGCTTTTGTCCAAAGTGCTATTTAACATCAATTCCAAACTACATTTTCAGCATGAGTGGAATTCAACCCATTGCATTGACAGTAAACTCCTCAGGCAAAGCACAATTTGAAAAAGGTGTAAAACTCCAGGTCAAGAATGAATGAGTTTTATGTGAAGGGTGAAATTAGTTTACAGTCCTTGTACATGAAAAACAGCAGAAAGGGCCCTTAAATACGTTGCATCAAGCAAACTGCTGCCCTCGTACCATCCATGTTCAGACAGGAAGTAAATATCTGCACGGAGAGCTTTGAACATGAGAATTGAAGCACTGTTCAGCACTATTTGGTGTTCCTGAATACAGCACACCACAGAACTTTGTTCTCCAGCAGAGGAGGCAACAGCATCACAAGGACTGATAATCTTCAGTGTGGAAACGTCGCTGTTGACCTTCAGTACTTTTCCACATTGTCTACTATATTTATATTGTCCAGCTTCTTCACTTTCTCCACACTTGCACATCAAAGCCTTTATTTGTGCAGGGTTCCTTTCACACCCTGCTCATATGTAGCACGTCATGTCATATTTTAAGCATCAAGGCTGTCATACTGTTCACACATGGGCTATCATGGCAACACATAAACGTGAAAACAAGCAGCTGTCAATAGAACAACCAAATGATGACTAACAACAACAGTTTACTGAAATGTCTTGGTAACTCAGCACTGGTATGAAAACTAAATTATCTGAACATTTAAATGTGCTTATCTTCGGTATTCTATTCTATTAGTTTTATCGATGTTGCCTGTCAGACTCGTCAACTTGCACCACATAGTCATACACATTCAGCGGAGAAAATGTCAAAGAGAAGCTAGGCTGAGCTCTATGGCCCCAAAAGAGATATTAAAATCAGCAGCATGGGATTACTTTTCATATCCCAAAAACCAACAGGGGTTGGTCATCGAGGACACAGATCCATTTTGAAAAAATATGGATGCAATGTGGCTGCCAAAGGAGGAAACGCGACTCTGTGTCATCTGTCCATTCGATAACCTCTTACGACTTACAAACACACGCTGACCCCATATAAAAACACACATGCAAACTTCTGACATAAGTAAGTGTGTGTGTGAGTTAAAGGTACAGACAGGAGTGGTCTAGCTGCACTGTGACACACCTACAGTATATGTTAATTGTTAATAATCATAGGACGTTATTTTAAAAGGTCAGAGCTTATGTTTTCATTTAGTACTTCATTTAACGTGGCATTATTGGAATATAATACGTATAGGACGGCTGTGGTTCAGGTAGTAGAGCATGTCGCCTATACGGATCACTGTGTTGGCAGTTCAATCCCCACCTCTTCCTGTCCACATGTCGAGTGTCCTTGGCTTCTGGGCGCTGAACCCCCAGTTGCTCGAGCCTGAGCCAGTGCATCAAGAGCAGCCTATGCAAAGTCAAATATGCTTTAATTTAACTGTGCTAATATTTAAACTAACATACTTTAGGTAAATAAGAAAAAAACATTCTGCTTTCATTCCTTTAAGGCTCATTGTAACTGATAATAACTTTACTATACTGTGAAACTGTGGTATTATTGCAAGTCAGCCTCAAAAAACAAGTTTTAACATAGCAGAGATTGCTGTCTGCAGAGTTTTGTCGCAGATTTTGTCCTTTAAACCTAAACTAATTTATATGGAAGAAGAGGACTTTGCTCTGTAGATAAAAATGTCTCATTCCAAGGTAACAAAAACTCAGAGATTCTTATCTTCTGGTGATCATACACAAATTAAAACATATCTATGAATATTATATTCCAATTCTGCCAATCGATCCCCCTAAATGTTGCAAAATGGACCTTTAACATGTATTCCCCAGGGCTAGTATGACACCAGGCGGCCAAACCTAGAGAGGATCTTTAGACAACAACCAAGAAAGTCAGTATGTGATCATGACTATTCTCCTTTCTATATGTTCACCCCACAGTCTGAGCTCCTCCTGGGAGGCCCTGGGTGCCTGGGTGCCTGAGCTTTTGAGCACCCTCTAATCATCAGCAATTAGCTCAGTTCAGTTTCCCTAGAATCATACAACGACATCAGTGAAACATGTCAGACAATAAACTGTATTTCACAGGGAGGAAGAATAACTGCATGTTAAAGTAACGCACTGTCACTAAGATAATACAGCCAATAATACAGTGTGAAATAAAGTCTTTGGTGGAATAAGACCTGCAGGACTTTTTTTGAGGACTAAAGCTGTAAGATGCAGTGAGCAGGATGTGAGAGGTCTCAGGAGTTTTTCCCGACCTTTTTGTCTTTATGATTGTGGTCCAGCGATTAAATTGATGGATGAGGGCAGCCTTTGATCTGGAATGATCTATGGAGTGTGCACTGCATGTTTTTCAGTTTTTTTTTTTTTGCCTGTCTGACTGCATGTCTTAGACGTCACAGTGTGTGCAGAGCATCTGCTTTGGCAGTTTGGTGAACTGGTTGTCATAATAAAGGAATATGTGACCCAAATGTGAATCTTCTATGCACTTTATGTGGACAACAGTAGGGTTCTGTGTCACAGGCCATAAGTCACACAGACTTATTTATTATAAGTTGTTGGTTTTTCATGTTTGTAGTTCTAAAACGAAAAAACAAAGCTACTGTGATCCTAATTGCCTTCCATTGTCTCCTTGTCTCTGTCTTTAAAACACAGACAGGAGTGACCTAGTAGGTGGCTGTTTTTAACTATGTGAATGATACCCAATAACACAAATTTCTTTTATTTTATTATTTTTTTGTATTGTTACATACAGTAAAGAACAAAACAGGAAATATGGGAAGAAAGAGAGAGCGATTCAAAACAGGGCTTCTGAGAAAACGTATATGCGTCTAAAGCACTCTGACTTTTCCTCAGGTTTGCATTTAACAAGACCACCAACTAGCTTAACACAGCTGTGTCTATATTTGACTATTCAGATTTAAAAAATCTAATGACTCACTGCATGTCACGGCACAAACTCTGTGTTACTGCGGCCTGGTCAACCACGGCTGTAGATGTCTGTTGAGACCACCATGATTTAATTTAAAGCTACGGGAAGTAGAAGTACAAAATTGTATTGCAAGCATGAACATTCATTTTTTTTTTCATTTTGACATTAAATGACCTCCTCTGTAAAGGGAGGAGGAGAAATGAGTGGGAGTGAGTCAATCTGTCAGAAACTGATTCAAATATTTTAAACCCTGCAGGTGTGATTTACATATCTGGTGTTTCCACAGTTTGCCATGTCCAAGGGAACAGTAGTAAATCTGAGTTAGAGTCTCTGAATATTTGAAAAAGTTTCAAGCTTTTTCAGCTTTTCGAGCTTTCCAGGATCCTCTCGAACGTCTGTTTTTCCCCTTCTCTCATTCTCTCCATCTTGTTCAGTGTGAATTATTACTATAGTTCAATATTTTGGCAAATACGCTTGCAGCTTGGTCAGTGGCCTTCCGCTTCAAAACCATGATGAGCAGGCATCTCTGGTCAAGTTAATAACATAACAATAAATATGCAACACTGCCTTCTGTCATTCTCTTCTAGTGGTTTTTCTAGCCAGTTGTTTTTGGACAGGATGTTTTGCTTTTGGAGAGGTGAGAAGCTGCCCCTGTCTTGGTCCGACTATCTGTGCATACAAAAAATACAGAAGTACAAAGTTTAAACAGCAGCCCTGGAGCAGTACCTAGAACAGACAAAAGTCTGCCGGGTGACGCATGACTTGGGAGGTCTGGGTGTAACATCGTAATGATACAAAACTGGTTGAAATTCCCTTTAAAAATGTACCTTTAAAATGTTTATGCAACCAAAATGACATGGTTAATGTGAGAGAAACGTCACCTTAATAGTTAAATAAGACCAACGCTGACTCTTGGTAGTGGACAGACTGAACTACGTCAGTCATTTTATGAGCCCAAACACTATGATCTTTCCCTGTCCTACACTGCATAGGGATGTAGCATCACTTTCTGCTTTGCTACTGGATATCATTTTAAGCTGTTTGCACATGTTTTTTTTTTTTTTTCAGAAGATGACAAATCTGTCTCTGTAATCTTGATTTATGATTGTGATTGATTACTGCAAAAATGTATTTGCACTAATCTTTTCTCTGCGTTTCAGGTAGTGCGGACTGTGGAGGAAGAGACAGACAGACAGACAGACAGAGAGGGGGAGACAGAGAGAGCGCCATGGACAGACAGAGAACTGGATAACAGCACAGGAAGGCCATCAAACAGCAGGGAGCCAGACACAGACACACTCACACACACACAACAGTTAAAACACACAGCAGAGAGACAAACTTGACACTTTGTCAGAGCCACAGGAAGATACTAAAACAGCAGGGTACTGCCAGAACACACCATAAACTGATGAGTTACACACAGTAACACACACACACACAGAAGAAAAAACACACAGCGATGGAGACAGACTCGATGCTGCGTCAGAGCCACAGGGAGATAGTAAAACAGCAGGCTGCTGTCAGAACGCATCTTAAACCGACGGGTTTTCTACACACACACACACACACACACACACACACACACACACACAGAAGAGCTCTGCAGTTGACAGCAGCCATGTTTGGGAAAGATGGAGCTCATCAGATCATCATCTGCTGCTTCACAGGACTTTAAACAATACAACTGAATGGGGCGACATACTGAGGCAGAGCTGGTTGTTGATTGTTGACCTTGTTAGTGCAAATTATTTTGAAATTAAAATAACAATCAAATCCCAAAAGAAAAGTGGCAATGCACTGTAGGGCTGAGTTCATGATACAAATGTTTAATGGGAAATCTTTTAGTTTTTTGTTACATAATTTCCAAGAAATCCCTTGGAAATAACTAATTTGTTCAACTGATACACTTCCAGTTAATTCATTATATAATAGCACAACCAGGGTGTCTATTAGTCGACACACAGCAGCTCAGATGAACGTGCAAAAATGTAAATGTAATTCAATACACTGTTTATGGAGAGTTTCCACAAATGAATAAATATTTATTTGGGTTTAAATTCAGCTGCTCTTTTAAAGAAAATTCCCTTTTCAGTAAGATTGTGAAAATTTGCTAAAGGCCTTAAAAACACCAGTTATTAATATTTTTACCTCCACACATTTGTCTCTCTGGCTCCAACTCCTATGAAATGTGAACACATACACCAAGAAATGAAAAGGAGGGATATATATATTCCACTGTTATGCACTACCTTCTGAAAAATTCTTGAAGTGTAAGTCCCAAACTTTAGTGAGCACATTTTATTCATTTGTAAGTACAATCTACCACCACAGAACTATTTCACTTAAAGTTAATACATCTGTTGAATTATTGCCCAGCTCTAATGAAGGGTATTAAACTACAGATAACTGTAACTTATCCAAACAAACAGTCTTTCAATGGAAATAATAATAAAAATCCCATTGTTCACATGATGTATACTAGTTATTAATAACAGATACAAGGGACTGTTCATTCGTTATCAAGTAATGATCACATGTTTAAGCTGGAATGTGACGCTATCACTTCATAATCTTTGTCAACCGTGGGCTCAGCACCCTATATTTTAAAAGGAGGGGTCACATTGGATTTTTACAATGTTAATTTGGTGTGAGAAACTATTATTATAAGTTTGGGAATTCAACATGGAGTCAGGGGTTAGAAAAATAGAAAAAATTAAATATAAACAAGTTTTATTACTTATTACAAACACATGTTCACATGTTTATTATCATAAAGTTATATTATCAGAGTGGTTTGTTTCTTCACATGCATACTTATGTGTTTGAGTTTATAGTGAGTTATGAACAAATAACACATGGGGTTTTATTACACATGAATATACCTGACATTAAAAGGATCCAAATCGACAATAAAAAAAGATCAAACTTGGAATTATGAGGCTTTTATACAAATATAACAATAACCCAAATATATTACATGGTGACTTCACCATGCTGAGCCCCATACAGTGGTCTGAAAAATATGTCTTTGTTAAGAGTAAGAATCAATTGCGGCCAAAGGAACCTCACAAAAAGCCGATGTCTGATGTTTTTCTTATTATTTCAAAAGCTGTTGTTTGAATTGTTACTCTTATAGACATATATAGAAAGGTTGTGAAATGAAATTTGCTCACTACCAGAAACCATTACTCCACACTGGCTACAGTCATATGCACAGTAAAGACTGAGGTTTTGCATCGTTAAATCCATTAACTACAAACCGCTATTCAATACAATTTCTGTCATTGCAGGCAGCCACTAGTTTCAGTCTATTTCAGTGGCTTTGAGTAATAAATCATAGTATATAGAGGTTTTTGGTTTTATGTCAAAGTTGCATTATGGTTGAGCGTCACTGTTCACCTGGCAGACCCACTGTCAATGTAAGCTCCACTCACTACCTTTTTTTCAGCGCTTTCTTGATGAATATTGTAAAATGTGGTTCATGATCTGGAAGAATCTAGTACAGACATTAACGTTGTGTGACTTTCAAACTCTCCTTCTTGGCAAATTGAAATGCTGATTACAGTGATGACTGTTTGTATCATGAAAATGTGAATTTGGCCTTTTTTGTGTTTAATAAAGTTGCTGTTTAGCACCTATGGCCCCCAAACGGTCCGTAAAAATATGATTTCAACCCAGAAGTAGTTCTACGTAACATTAAATATTCGTAACTAAATGTGAAATAATCCAAGTTAAAGTCTAGAAAAAGAACACTGTCAGGTTTTTATTATGAGTTAAACACTGAAAAGCTTCTGTTTCTGCAGCTTCATGAGGACTGTGTGGGTATGATCAGATGTGATTGATAGTGGCCTGCAAACCTACGCAAACAATCCAACAACCATCATAGTATTGCTAAATCCTGATTGGTGCACAGAAATGTGTGATATCATCTTTATGTTCACCCACCTCAAACCAGTGAGAGCAGCAACGTTAAAACGGAAAATACAGAAAAACTCTGTGAAATAACAAAAACCCTGTTCAGGTTGGAGCCCGTTACTAACAGCAGCTGATTAACAAAACGGGTTTTCAAGTTGAGTCAGATACATGACTTCATGCATTAGGTGAAATTAAAGTATGATAAAAGCATATTAAGGAATATTGGTAAGTCCTCAGTATGTTGCCACTGTGTTGTCATTTCAAAAAAGGTCAAAACAGAAGAACAGATGGAAGCTTTGCTACTGTTGATAATCTGAATGTGTCCCTGAAAAGACCCCCCCCCTCTCTCTCTCCCTTCTGAACTTAACTTCCTCTTTTCTGTCATGACTTTCTTTCTCCACTTTATCCTTCCATTTTTTACCTGTCAGCATCCCTTTCTGACACCTTTTCTTTTTTCTTAACATCTGCTCATTAGTTTTTACTTTACTTCCTGTTCCTTTTCATCTCTCTCTTCCTTCTCTTCTTTCTCTCCATTTCTTTCATATTCATTCATCCACATTTCCCTTTCCCAGCTACCATTTATTTTATTGTCTCTTTCCTCCCTTTCTTTTCTCTGCTGTCTTCCTTTCTTTTATTTCCTTGTCTTTTCTTGTTTTTCCTCTTCCCTCTCGCCTCCTGTTAAAGATGAAAGGAAAGAAGTGTCTTCTGTTGACAAATGTTCTTGCTAAATCAAACAGACAAGAAAGCTAACATACCAATTTCCTAAATAAGAGAATTCCTAAAAATCTAAATTGTCAGTTTTCCTGATTTGGGAGTAAAAATTAATTACAACCCAAAATTGGATCTGATTATATAATCTGTGGTACTCGCCCACTGCTTTGTCCTTAGTTCAGTTTCAGATTGACCCGCCGGTTAGTTTGTTTATGGTGTTATGAAGTTCACCATTACATAGGCTATACTGTACATTGTACATCCTTGTATATACTTGTTATAATCCCATGAATAATCAGCCATTACTGCAGGTTCATGAGTTTATGTGAAGGTGAGCTACATCCCGCAGTAAAAAATGGAAAACTATGGTGTGTTCAGTAGATCAACCAAGATATGGCAGATGATTAGATTTGGTTCACAATGTTTATCTCTGACTTTTTCCCTCCCAAATAAGGAGCTCAGGTAGTGGAATAACCAATCTGAACTCTTGTTTACCTTCAGAGGAAAATGTATGCTTTCTGTCTCTCTTCTTCTTCTCTTCCTCCAATCCTCCTGTTTCTCCCTTTTCTCCCCCTTTTCCCTGTTTTTCCCCCTCTCGTTCCAGTCAGATTTCTACATGCTGATGTTAAATAGTCTTTGCTGTTATTTTTAATGACTTGTGCGTACTGTGCGATGAAGGTGATGATGCTGACTCCTCTGTCTGCACTGAGAGGGTGCCAGAGGCCTTTACAACACATGTAAATAATCCAAATAAAAGGTTGGAACTTGTGACCGTTGTTGGAAGCCTTTTGTGATAAAAGATAATTGGAAATATTTTGTGAATTTCTTCCTTGAATCAAACCTCTGTTTTGTTTTTTGTACTTTTATGCACTTGAAAACATGTTCTCTATTGTCTCACCTCTTCTATTTTTCCCCACAGCAACAGGAATGCATTTGTGCTTGACGGAGCTGCACAGTTAATCATAGATGCAGTAAATAACTTTGTTAAACTGTTTTATGGAGATTAGTTTTTTAAAGACGATAAGTAAAGACAGGAAAGGTTCTTTTATGCACAGAAGTTATTTTAAAAAGTATGTTTTCTCTCCAGTTTTGCTACTCTTCATGGGTGGAACATTAAAGTTGCACCTCTGGCCAAAGTGATGTCAAAATAGCAATTCTGAATATGCTGAGAAATGTAGGAAGCTCTATATTGTTGTTTCAGTAGCACATAATCCTAGACAAATTTCAATAAACATAATTTCAAATAGTGGTTGCAGTGTTTTTAATTTAATTTTGGAATCACAGTTCAATTCAGAATTATTATCATTACCAACATCATGTGTCAAATTATACTTTTCTAACAAAAAAACTACATTCTCCCACAGGGTTTTCTCTGCTTTGTCAATGTTTCTATCAGACCCTGACCTTTCTTAAATCCACATTACTCTGCAGTACGAGCCTTTCTTGGATCCAGACCTTCGAATCCACCTGCTCCACCGAGTTGACTGATTCCCTGGAAATGGAGTGTAACGATTTGACAATTCTGTCTGATACCAGGTAAGTGAGAGCCTGAAAACAGCCTCATGAGTCATGTCAGGCATATTTTTCCAAGGAGATTATTACATTCCAGCACCCCTCGTCCCTGCTGCAGCGGCCATGGGTTCGACTCCAACCTGTGGCCCTTTGCTCCGTGTCATCCCATCTCTCTCTCCTCCCCCCCCTTACCTGTCACTCCTCAGCTGTCACTATCGATTAAAAGCAATAAAAGCCCCACACTCCATGATCGGACTTGTTTGTCCAGCACATCCCATAGAGGCTCCACTGGATTGAGATCTGGGGAATTTGGAGGCCAGGTCAACACCTTGAACTTGTTGTTTTTTGTTCCTCAAACCATTTCTGAACCATTTCAGCTTTGTGGCAGGGCGCATTGTCCTGCTGCCATTAGTGAATACCGTTATCATGAAAGGGTGTACATGGTCTGCAACAATGTCTAGGTAGGAAGCAGATGTCAAAGTAACATCCACATGAATGGCAGGACCCAAGGTTTTCCAGCAGAACATCACCTGAAGTGTATCTACGCAGCCCAATACGCAACAAACTGCGATGCACTGTGTGTTCCGACACCTTTCTATCAGAACCAGCATTAACTTTTTCAGCAATTTGAGCTACAGTAGCTCTTCCTTCCCTGGAGCACTATTGATAGGTACTGACCTCTGCAGACCGGGAACACCCCACAAGAGCTGCAGTTTTGGAGATGCTCTGACCCAGTCGTCTAGCCGTCACAATTTGGCCCTTGTCACAGTCACTCAAATCCTCACGCTGCCCGTTTTTCCTGCTTCTAAACACATTAACTTACAAGGATGAAATGTTCACTTGCTGCCTAATATATACCACCCACTGACAGGTGCCATTGTAACCAGATAATCAGTGTTATTCACTTCACCTGTCAGTGTTCATAATCTAATGGCTGATACTACACTTGTTTAGAGTTGTGTTTTTTACTCTTTAGAGTTGTGTGTTTTAGTCTCCCACTATCTCCATGATCCACTGTCCTCCCCTATAAAAAGACAAAAATAGGGGTATAGTAAGAAGCGGTGGAGTGAAAGAGGTTAAAAATCATGACCAAAGTTCTGAAAGGAAGGGATTTGCTACTGCTCGGTGAGATCAGCTCAAATGCACAAGCCTCCAGAATGCCAGTTTAAAAGCCAGCGCATAAATCTCATCTCGTATCTCAGCTTATGTAACCAGGGATGTAGAGCTCATGAGCGGGCCAGAATGATAGTAAATGTCTCCACCTGAGTGGCGGCCAGTAGATTTGAATGCCGACTTTGGAAAACCTTGTCAAATTAAATTTGATGATGAATTGGTCTGCTTAAAAGAAGAAAAACACATAGTGGCTTCTACAGCACTGAATAGCCAGATAACTGAGGCTGCTTGTATTAAAGGCCACGACGTATTCATAGTTGATTGTACAAAATGTCATATTTGGTGTTCAGTATTGGCACTCCTTTAAGTATAGAGCTGATTATTCTACATTATATGATAAATAAATCCCATTAAAAGGACGTAAACCTTTAAAAATGGCTCACAAATAAACAGTTTAAGTTTTAAAAGTCTAAGTAATGACTAGGTAATGAAGGGACATCTCAGACAGTGCAACAGTGTCTGTGTTGCAGCTCTATGGCACAGAAGTGTAACATGTAATACAATGCAAGTTATTTTAGCTAAAAATAATTGTTGAAATGGATTACATGGAAAAGGTTGAGTAACACAAACTCAAGTTTTAAGTATAAAAATATTCTTGATTAAGCAGCTTTTAGTCATAATTTGAAGTGACACTAACTTAGATTTGTAAATATAAGAAATGTTTTAATTACTTTTTACCTGCTATTTTGTTTTCCCAGTACAAATAAAATTTCCAAAATGCATTAGTGTCACTCAATAACTAAAGATATTTGATAGCTTGATATATTGATGATATTGATGTTTGATCAGTTTCAACATTTCTTTGAGTTAAAGTGAACTTCTGGTTAGATTCAAGATTCAAGAAGCTTTATTTATCCAGAGGGAAATTGCTGTGCAACAATTGCGATACATAAGTGGAGAAGTAATACAAGAGTAAGAATCAAGTAACTAAATGCAACAAAGTGCAAAGCACAATAGGATAAGGCTAACATAAAATAAAGTACAACACTAACTAAATGCAACAATGCCACAAAAATGACAGTTAACGTAGGTATATATAATATACAACAATACGCACTGTGCAGTTAGCCGCATAAATTGAAATAAAATAAGTACAACCGGAAGTAGATGAGTTAAACAGTCTGATGGCCACAGGAAGAAAAGACTTCCTCTGGCGTTCAGTATTACATCGGGGGGGGAACGAGTCTGTTGCTGAAGGTGCTTCTGCTCGAGGTTAGCACCTGGTGGAGAGGGTGAGCGTTGTTGTCCAGGATACTGTGCAGTTTACACAGCATCCTCCTCTCAGACACCACCACCAAAGAGTCCAGTTGGACCCCCAGGACAGAGCCAGCCTTCCTGGTGATCCTGCTGATCTTCTTGGTGTCTGCTGCCCTCAGCCTGCTGCCCCAGCACACAACAGCAAAGAAGAAGGCACTGGCTACCACCGACTGGTAGAACATCCTCAGCATGATGCTACATACGTTGAATGACCGGAGCCTCCTCGGGAAATAGAGTCGACTCTGGCCCTTCTTGTAAACAGCCTCAGTGTTCTTGGCCCAGTCCAGTTTGTTATCCAGGTGTACTCCAAGGTATTTGTAATCCTGGACAACATCCACAGTCTCTCCGTTGATGGAGATGGGTGTGGGGGCAGATTTCCTCCTGCGGAAATCCACCACCAGCTCCTTAGTCTTGGTGGAGTTGAGATGCAGATGGTTAGTTTCACACCACTTGACGAAGGAGTCCACAACGCCCCTGTACTCCTCCTCCTTCCCCTCACTGACACAGTCAACAATTGCAGAGTCGTCCGCAAACTTCTGCACGTGGCAGGACTCAGAAAGGAACTGAAAGTCCGAGGTGTACAGGGTGAACAGAAAGAGGGAAAGAACAGTTCCCTGTGGAGCCCCAGTGCTGCTGACCAAAGTGTCAGACACACCGTCCTGCAGTCTGTCATACTGTGGTCGACCCGTCAAGTAGTCCGTCATCCAGGAAACCAGGGGAGGGTCCACCTGCATCGCCGTCAGCTTACTTCCCAGCAGAGCAGGCCGGATAGGGTTGAACGCACTGGAGAAGTCCATGAACATGATTATCACAGTGCTTCCCGGTCTGTTATACAGTGTGTCAGGCTTTGGATACTTGTTAGTAGGGTCAGTGAAGGTTTTTGGTCTTTTTGTGGGATTGTTTGACAATAGGAAAAATATAGAATATAACCAGACTTAAATTAAAACAGACCCTAAAGGAATACTCAACCAATCTTGAGAACCAAAAGGTTGTTCCCTAGGCCTGAAAAGTGGCTCTGAAAGCTAACTACCGTCCTCCTTGGAGTAACTGTTACCGAAAATAACAGCCACAGAAATCAAAAACAAGTATGTATTTTGCACAAAAAATAAGATGATGGCTGGAGAGACAACAAAGACTGCAGAGAAAGCTGCAAGTGACTGAATGAGGCGAACTTCAGCTGAGCTGTGGTTCTGACAACCTGAAACCTGATGAAGTGAGTTCTACTAATCCCTAATGAACCATACACTGCACATTGTTTTAGTTTGCTTGCTGATTTTGGCTGATTTTAAGTCCCCCAGCACTCAAGAATGTGTTTTGCTCACTGCTACTTTACTTGAATGTTTGACCTTCATTCTGCAGAATGATGTATGAGCAGAGTTTGAAGACGGTTTTCACATTCACCTGCTGAAGTTTCTCTTTTTCCGAGCCAATTATGATCCAGTATGCAACTTACACAAGTGTGATGTGGAAATTTAAAGCCCTTAAGTGCACACACACTGACAACTGACAAGACATTTTTTATCCAGAGGTTAAACTTTTGAAATGAAACATATTTGTATACTGGTAGATTCTGAATATTTCAGTGAGGGAGACAAAGTCAGTGTGCTTTTGTGGAAAAAACATATTGCAGGAAAACTATTATTCAAATCAGATTATTGTTATTATACTGAGACATGCTTGGGGGCACCCCTATATCTTAATAGATGCCGGGGACCTTTGCTGCACTTCTTGTATGTAGCAAGTTACAACAGACATAACTTATAGGCCACATAACTCATAGCTTTAAGGGCTTCTGTTTAAGGGCCCCTTTTCGAGACATAAGAATC